TTCCCGCCCAGTGGAAATTAGGATTGAATCCGCCTATAAGTCTGAATAGGGGAGTAGGCCAGGATAAGAAGAAAAAGTGGATTTTGACGACAACGCGTTCCCTTTTCCATTTTTTTTTATTTTTTTCCAAAAGTATCTATAGGTACTTTTAAAGTATTTTCACTTTTTCGATGTGCTCAGTTTAAAATTCTTGTTTTAACCGCTCATTTAAAGCCGCTACCCCTCCTCCTCTGTTTGGCTGCTCGCCTGATTTTTCTGCGAATTTCGTCAGTTACCGACTGCGGCATTTTATTTCAGCTAATTTATAGTTCGCGACGTGTATTGTAACTGAGTGGTGGTTGCTTCATTACGATTTTATATTCGATTCATTTTTTGATTTATTTTACATTTTTCATGCAAAGTAGATAATTTCAGTTGTTCATCCGACAATGGTTTATAAGAGGCATTGGGACTTGCATGATGATGGTTCCTTCAGGGACTCTGGGAAAGGATCGGTAGCACTGCACAAGTTGAAAAAATACAAACGGCATTTGACTGGTGAATTGGGCAGAGATCAGTGTAGAGTAATTCGTCATTTGAGAAAGCTACTTCTTATTGCGAAAGATGACGTAATCATTTATGCATTTATGATTTTCCGAAGGGGCAATTCTCGCGGTCGTTTTCATATTTGGATTTTTGAATTATGGTTAGATCAGCATATTAGGAGGTATTTACTCTCCTCAAGCGCAATCTTATGAAACTTTAAAGATTTTTTTTCGAATAACTTTTTAAGAGGGATTTTGCGATGTCTTTGCTGGATGTTGTTGACAAGCCTTTTGTGACGAATCTGCTTGTCAGATACAAGGGCACAGAGGACCAAATCGATAAAGAAATATATGATGTTCTTTTTTGTTTGGAACGGACGTATCGTGTTAATTTCTCGTAAGAATTGCAACCAGTGCTTTATTTAGGAAGCTTCAGCTTATGCTTTTTTTTTTTTTGTTTGAAGATAGGTTTTTTTAAAGAAGGAGATTATCTTTTGTTCAGCGAAAGCTTTCAGTAATTTAGTTCGTTTGCGGTTTTTTTGAAAGCTGTAAGTGTTTTAAGCTGCTATATAGTCTAGTTTTTCGAATCTGGCGGTTTTATTGCCTTTTGAGCAGTGCTTTAGAAATATGTTTTCTATTTATTTTAGATTGCTAAAGCGAATTTGCAATAGTATTTATGTTATTCTGTAATTAGTATTGAATTTAGGTCTCTCACTCCTCTTGTGTTTGGCGAAAGAGCGAAACATAATTATGAAAACTTACAGTCATTTGGACATAGTTTGAGTGCACGATTAACCTCTGAGGAAGTTCGGAATTTCTTTAGCATTTTGCTGTAATGACTTCATAGCAATACATGAATTACCTTTCTTTCAGGTACTCGACTTCTTAGATCCAGAAATGATGTGGTTTACTCTTTCCAATTTCAGTGATTCGCCTTATTCTTTGCGTAAGTGTAAGGGAAACCAGATTTATGATGCGAGGTTTGTACTGCGCCTGCTTGTCTCGGTTTCTGATGTGGGGATGGAAGTGCGTTAATTTATGATCAGTAAATTGGAAATTTGATAATTGAAGGGATCAGACCATCGAAGGTGCGAAGCCATTTGGAAACGCTGATTGGCTGAGCATCGTTGGAAGGCTTGGCAGCAGAGTCTTGTGTTCTGTTGACTGTATTTCGCATATTGTGTATCTGTAATTTTAATATAAGTTCAAATACAAATATGAATATAAAGATAAATACAAATATAGGTATAAATATAAATATAAGTAAATATATATACTTATTTATTTATATTTACATTTATACCTTTATTTATATTTATTTATTAATCTGATACCTGACACATTTGATTTAGTGAGCGAGGAAATTTGGCTTCCCAGCTCATCAGCAGCATTTCAGATTTCTTCGACTTTTTTTCTCTTTCTATCTTGAAATGTCAGTTTTTTCAGGTAAGCAACAAAAAGTTTATTCAGTGCAACGCATTATCATTTGCATTAGCAGCTACTAGCCTTTATGAAAGGGAGAACCGAGCTTTGGCCTATGTTATTTTGCACCGATTTTTAAATCGGCTATCAGATTTATCTTTGGAAAATTTCAATGAACGGCCATTTTATCTATATGTCTTAAGAGTTTTTCGGAACAGCATCGAAAAGAGTAACCAGCGGATACCTCATGGTTTGTATGTAGTCAACTTTTTTTTTTTGATTCTGCGGAATGGCAGAGGTTTTCAAAAATCGGCAGTTGCCAGAATTTATTCATTGCATATTTTTTAGACAGTACCATTGTGGCGGGCCGGGGTTTTACGATCACTTTAATTTACGTCGTTTTTGGTCCCAAATTCAGCAGAAAATACAATCGCAGATCTTGACACTTCGTTTTGTCCGTTTTTGTTGTCATTTAAGAATAGTTGTGGTTGAAAATTGCAAACCTTGAAAGTGCTCTTTGTTAATTTTGGACTGGTGACTTTTGAGGACTTTATTGTAAGATTTCAACAAAGTATGAAAAGTGGGGAGTGACATATTTGTTCCTAAGAAAGGAGCGGTTAGTACTGCCGTTGTAAACTTGGCGAACTGTTGTAGTAAAGAATTGTTTTGTAACTTCGTTGAAGAAAACTCTGTTCAGGAGCAATATGTTTACTGGCATCTGCTCGTTCCTAGTCCTGATATTTTGTCTTGAACCTTTCTTTCTTAGTATAGCGTAGTCGGAATGTATAAGATATTACTGTGCGATCTATTGAACCGGTTACCATTCAGAGTTTCACATAGAAATGGAATCTTGGCTGGAAATTGGTAAATTTAGGCAGAAATACAAATAAATTAAGCTCTTAGTGTGAAGATGCAGAAGCCGTCATACCGAACTTGAGGATACGAAAAACAATGTAGGGTATAGTCATGTTGCAAAGTTTAGCTTTTCAAAGAGTTAAGGTTTATAAAGCGGAAAAGTTACGGTGAATGGCTTTTTTAGGCGCTTTCTTTTTCACCAATTAGGGGACGTGGAGTTGAATTGTTGTTACTGTCATTCCTGGACTCGTTGTAGAGCGTGATATTTTTTTCTCAGATTTCGTTACTAGGTTCTTCAATTCACATTGGAATTTGGCCGAGGAAACTACAAAACCTGCAGTTTCAGTCGTTTCGCTGTTTATGGCCGAAGTCGTCAAGTTATTTTTATGTCCAGAGAATCCACTCTATCGACCGATTCTTTCTTTCTTTTTGCTGAAACCCACGCTGAATATGGAAGATGTTCCTGAGTTTTATAAATTATTATTAAGCTCAAGCACTGATCAGCATCAGGAGGAAAGGCGGTGGATTTTGAGACTTATTGCTGATTCTCTGATTGAGCCTTACGATTACAATATAATGCAAAAAAGGTTGGTTGTGTGTTTTTTTTTT